GAGCCACATCATATATTTTTCTTTGTCTCTTATCACTGTTCTGACTCCCCCAAAGGGAGAGCAAAACGATGATAATAATTCTGGTGCACAGACTCATGCCAATGAGTCCTTCCTTTGGAATGGATGGATGTGAGAGGAAGCCTTTCTCTGATAGAGAAGGCCTTAAACAGAGAACCTGACCAAGGCTGACTGCCATGTTTCCTATCATGACTAGAACAGCCAGTTAGCACATGCGCGCACACGCACAGGCGAATACATTCCAAAAGGGGCTCAAGTCCCTAGTTCCCAACTCATCATGGGTCTCAGAAGGCAAGAGATGACAGTTTTGCCTGATCCAGGTTAGGCTGGAGTTCTTTTCAATTAGTACTGAAGGAGTCCCAGGGATAGTCAAAGGCCTTTGTATGGTGGCCTTTGAGCTTTGCTGGGAGTGAACAGGAAACTCATTCTTGAGGAGGAGATAAAACAGCTAGACAGAGACCAGAGTGGAAGAGTCACTCAGGGCTGAGGCTGAGGCTCCGTAAAAGGGTGACTAGGCAGACGGGAGGAGGAACAGCATGTCCTCTCTGCCGTGGGACTGACTGTCTGACAGCTGCTGGGGCTTGTAGCCTCCCCTGAGAGAGGCATGGTGCCCTTTTCCTCCTTCCTTCTGTTCACCTCTGCCTCTAGCCAGGACACGACTCATAAAATAGGGGTTGGGAGCTGTCAGAAAGTTCTGGGATCACCTTGGGGTTACTCTTGTCACTCTGTCTATACCCCAGCTTGGAGAGAGCTGCTTTTTTCTCCCTTCTCTGGTCCCATCTTATCTGTTCCCCTAAGGTGGGTCTCAGGCCTCAGAAGACTTTGCAGATGGGATCAAAAAACAGAGGACAATCTGCTGCCGAGGCAAACACAGGCTTTGAGGATAGCCAGCCCATCTGACCCTGGGCCCCCAAGGACACCCCTGCATGCAATGCTTCTGCATCCCAGAGGGGAAACCAGATGGGTACCCACTCACCTACAGCATAGCATGGCTGTCAGTGGGTTCTGGAAGGAAACAGAAGCTCTCTACCTCCGAAGTGCAGGGACCCTGAGAAGGGGTTTATAAAGTACCGACAGGATAACAAAACCAGTGCTGGTTGATGTAGTGACTCTGGGCCACCCAGTTGTCAACCTGCAGGGACAAGGCATGGGAGGAGGTCAGCCTGCAGAAGCTGGGTCTCCTGAAGGCAAAGCAGGAGCCACAGAAAAATGCCCCATGTTATGTCTTCTATCCCCATAGCTGTCTAGAAAAGGGCAGAGGATGCTTGGAAGGACAGCCATTGCAGGTATCACAGGCAAGATGTTGGGGCCAGAGTGGGTGGACCAAGGTGTCTCTTCAGAAAGGAAAATCACACTGCCAACCAGGTGCATCACTGGCCCCTGCCTTGAAAACTTTAGAAAAACTGAACATATTAATAATTATAGAAGCTGCAGGTGGCCAGACCACATGACTTCTCTGACTTCATCTTCCTGCCAGGCAGGAGAGAGTCAGCAAGGAGAAGGAGGTGACTCCAAGTCAGTCCAGGCCAAGTGGACTCCATTGCAAATTCTTTAAACCAGTACAGCTCCTTTGAACGTGTGGCAGATCCTAAGTGTCGTCAGCACCAGGACTTGTTTTCACTGGCATTTGCTGAGATTGATGATACAAGTGCAGGCCAACAGCATGAAATGCCAGGTTTGTAAACTGCAATGCCCACGGATTCTTACACTCTTGGCAGGCACAGAATTATGAACAGTGCTTCGCTCCCGAGCTTCATGTAACCTTCTGCTCCTTGTATCAGGGCAGCACCTGCTCTTTGTGTTTGGCATAAGGCACAGGGTAGAGAGAAACCCATTCAGTGGTGCCTGCCTTGGTTGCCAGCCAGGTATCTGGGAGGAGAAATACCCATCAAGGCTGGGGTGTGGCTCAGGGGTAGAGCACTTGCCTAGAATGCATAAGGCCCTGGGCAATTGCCAGCACCACCAGAGACAGAGAGAAGTTGGGGGTGTCCTCCAAAGGCTTCGAGGTCTGGATTGGGCAGTGGGTCAGTGAGAAGATGAGCAGAGAGGACTGTGGGGCTTCCTTCTGTTTGGGGAGAACAAGGCCCATTGCTCTCCCTGGAAGGAAGAATACACTTGTGCAGATGGAGTTTCAGGCCCTCGCTTGTCTTGGGTTACCTCTTTTTTTTTTTTTTTCTTTGAATTCATCTGGTTGCCATTTGCCAAACTGAATCTAATTATAAAATTCTGGGCTGTTGGTACAGATTCTTATTTGCTGGTATAAACTGGTTTAAGCTTTCTCCCATTACTGGAAAAGGGTGTTCTTACCTACCTTGAAGTTGGTCCATCTAGCCCAGAAGCCATGGGCCTCCTCCCTGTAGGTGACTTCTCAGGACTTGTGGCTGATGAGCCCCAGCCCCTCTTGGGGTAACTGTGGAGACATGACCTGCGACTTCAGGTGACATAATCAGTGCAGGAAAACCCAGCTGGAAGCCTTCTATTGGTTTTCTGCCTCCAAAAACTAGTGCTTCTCAAGTGGTAGTGGCCTGACGTGGACTCTTCAAAGAAAGGCCTTTTGATCCCAGGCTGAGGACGCCTGTCCCCGTGTGCTCCCAGCTGCATCCCTGCAGAGCTGTGCGCCCATCCAGCCTCTGCTGGGAGGCAGCTGACCTGAAAGTAATGTTATTTTTTTTTAACCTGGGTTTTAGAACCCAGAGCAATAATATTTTCAACTGGTTATTGAGGCTGATACGTGAGCACAGGCCTCCATTTGCTTAAATAGAACCACCTTCACAGATGTATTTTGGGACAGTGAAAATCCAGTGCTTGGGATGGGATTGAGTTACCCCAAATGAGAGTGACTGTTTGCCCAGAGCCTAGACCTGCAAAGCAGTCTGGCTGCGTTCCCCCACGCCAGACTGAGGCCTGACTTCCAGGGCCTGCAGGACACTGGGTGCTTCTCTGCTCATAGAAGCAGAGACACTACGGGTTCTAAAATGCTCAGCTCCTGTCATGCAGAATCTCCGTCACTTACCAACTGCATTGAACTTGAACCAGTTATTTGGCCTCTCATGGAGCCTCACTGTCTCCATCTATAAATTGGGAATAATCATATCTGTAGTGGAGCGCTGTATTGTGTGTCTGTATGTACATGTATGTGTGTGTGTGTGCACGCAAGTGAGTTTTAGAGGATTTGAGAGAGCATAGGAGAATAGAACAGGAAAAGGGCACAAAAAGCCATCTTCTTTCCTTAGTGTCTAAAGGAGTCATCCATTAATCAAATCATCAAGAAAGCCTCGGTGCCTCAGCTTATCTTGATGGAGAGGAACTGTCTGCAGGAGCTACCAGGCAGTACAGCAGGAGTTGGGCCAGCAGGCAAGGCTTTGGTACTGGCCATGTGATCTTGTGCAAGTCCTTAGCTCTTTTGAGCCTCAGTGTCCCTCTCTGTAAGATGAGGGCTTGGGTTCCTTGTGGGACCGTAGCCCCATAACCTTGGGATCCTAATGGTCATAGGGTTCATGTTTCTTCATCAGAGAAGATTGTGGCTGTCTCATAGAAGAGAGACAGCAGGACTAGGAAACTTACTCACTGTCCCTCCGTGTACCTTCCAAATCTTTCCTGCCCTTTTCCCTTTTTCCAAGAGGACCTCCTAACCACCTGGGAGAGCCAAGTCCTAGACCCTGCACTGAGAATTTGCCTTGAATAAAAGAAAGGATCTGGGTGTCTAACTGCACAGCAGGATGCCTGGAGAACGAGCCTGGGTTTATCTTTGTGCTTGGTCATTTCCTGTATCTCTTTTGAAATAAGGGTACTTTTGGGGCTGAGCCTGACAAATCCTTGGGTTTGAAATAGTTATAAACAATTTGCAATTAGCTGCTTTGTCTAAATGAGCAGGCGAACTCACTCACTGAAAGTTTTAACAAAAACTTGAGGCCTTTCATCTACTTGACAAGTGCGTCAGATGTAAGTAAAGGAGCCCCTCTCAGGCCATGGAAAAGTAAAAAGTCTGGTTTTTAGAGGTCTCACATTCAGTCCTTTGGTGTGGACAAACAGCTCTGTGCTTGGAGGTTGGTATCCCAGCTCTGCCACCCCTGCTTGCATGACCCTGGGCAAGTGGCTTTCCACTGCAGAGCCTCTTAATCTCCATCTACTGATGACGGTGCAGAACAGGAGCTCTTGCTCTCTTCTGGCCCTATCCTGGCTCTTTTAAGGTTGGTTTTTGTTCTGTTTTTCTTCTTCAATACTGGGAACTGAACCCAGGGCCTTCACACTGAGCTGCATCTCCAGCCCCCTTCCCTTTATTATTTTGAGACAGAATCTTGCTAAGTTGCTAGGTTACCAAGGTTAGCCTTGAACTTCTGATCTTCTGATTTTCTTGCTTCAGCCTCCTGGAGTGCAGGGATTATAGGCATAGGGCACTAGCCCAGCTTCCTTGAACACAGGAAAAAAAGCGAGAAGAAAGAGGTATAGTATATTCTTTCCTTCTCAGTGTTCAGTTTGTAAACTGAAAGGCTGGAGAAATCAAGGCATGCACAGTATTAGTTTTTCCTTGCAAGGTATAATAATCACAATGGTGATAATTGTGGCAGCTGTTAAATGAGTATTTATTCCATGCCAGTCCTAGGCTGAGAGCTCTGTCCTTTCTGTCTACACAGTTGTCCTACACGAAGGTGCCACTATTGCTGGACCTCTCTGCATTTTATAGGCAGGCCATGTAGATCACCACAGATCATGCAGTTTGTAGTCTGAGTGACCCAAAGCAGCTTCTCCATGCTCTTTCAGTTGTTTTCCAGAGCCATTATCTCCTGGTAAGTGCACAGTGGTCTGGATGTTAGGCTCTTGGCCAGGTCTTCCCCACTCTTTGAGCCTCAGATTCCTTCTCTGCAGAAAAAGGAGATTGTCTAGGTGGCCTGCAGGGTGTTCTCCCAAGGTTTCTGAGATTTGGTAGCCATAAGAAGTTCATGAGCAAATATGTTATTGTTCCTTTTCTCCTTCTGTTTTAGGCAGAATATGAAGTTACTCCAGATGAAAAACTGGGAGAGAAAGGAAAGGAAATTATGACCAAATACCTCACCCCAAAGGTAAGAAGCCAACCAAGCCCCACAGCAGGAAGAAAAAGGGGCTTTGTCCAGGAATGTGGGTCCCAGGCCCCTGCCAGCCAGTGGCAACTTGAGCCATTCAGGACTGGTGCCTGGCATTGGTCTAGGTCATCTCTGTTCTCCACACCCAGAAGGCCGGGAGGTGGGTGATCCAGACCTGGCCTGGCTCAGAGGAAGAAGCCTGCTTCTTGGGGCCTGGTCCTTCCTCAGGCCTCCTGATTCCCTCTACTGTGCCTATGTGTGTGTGACAGAATACGTTGAAGCCTGGCTGAGGTCAGGTTGGACGTGATGAAACACGGACTCAGCAGGGATGAGCTGGGGGTGACCAGGAGGAAGGGTGGTCAGTGGAGCACGTGAGAGAATGAGAGTCTGAGGTATGTTCGAGAGAGTAATGAAGGCAGAAAGCCACTGAGCAGCACTGCCCTGAGGGTCCTGGCAACCTGAATTCTCTGGGACCTCTTCCCTCTTAATCCACTATCGTAGAAAAATGTTCCTTGACCCATTTAGTGTTCTGGTCCTAGCTGTTCTGCCCCCTTGGCACATCTTCGTCTTATTAAGCCTCAGTTTCCCCACCACGTGAGAGCCAGAGATGTGACCTACATATGAGTGGCCTTATGTGTACTCTGTTCGGTTCCCCTGGCTAATGGTGCTTCATCCCATTGAGGGTCCTGTGTGTCACCAGTTCCAGTCTTGTAGAAGGGCTCTCCTCACAGAAGCTGTCCCAGGCTGCTGGTGGACTGAGGCTACCAAAGCCTGCAGGATGAAGGCCTGACCGCTTGTCTCCCCCAAAATTCAGTCCCTGTTCCCCGGCAGGTGTGTTCTCTGACATCTGCCGGTGGCAATCAGCTGCCTCCCTCCTAGGGTGAGCCCGGCTTCATGCTCAGAAATGTGACTCTTGTCAAGCCCAGCTGCTCCAAGTGACCTTGTGGATGGCCATCCACTATGCACCTGTGGCATCTTACCATGCTCCCGTTACTCCCCTCGCTCCTGTCTTTCTGCTTCTGTCCTAATTATGCATCTGTGTCTTTATGCAAACTGCAGGCTCCCAAGTCCTTTTGCATATGTCAGGAATGACAGGATTATTGTGTATAAAATGCCTCCAGAGGGGGAACAGGCCATGGTGTGGCCCCAGGCAGAAGACCTTATATGATCTAGAGGGTGGTACTGCCTTGTCTCATTCCACACGTGGGCCTCTTGGCATCTGTTGGGTCTGCAGGGTACAAGCCAGCAAGGAGGAGCCATTCTGCACAGGGTCCTTGCTTACCACAGCTGCAGCCACGGACATCTCAGTGAAGCTGTGGCAGGTGCATTTTTTATCTGGGCACCACTGAACGCAGAGAACAATGTGGGCAGCCAGGTAACCCAGGCTGGGAAGAGGTGTCACCCGAGAGGGAGGAGTATCCTGGAGAGGGTGATGATGAATTAATTAATCCTGGCTGAGCTCCTGCTGGGTGCCAGGCACCTCTGGGGTGGTACTAGTGCAGTATCCATGAGATACTCCTGGGTACAGACAGGCTGCCAAGGCCCACAGAAGAGGCCAGTGGCTTTCAGAGGCTACCAACTGATGGCACCGGCAACCTTGGCCAGAGTCCCCTCCCACTGAGGCTCGGCGGTGCTCCATCTAGTGTTCCATCCATGCCCTCTTTGTGGCTGTGTCCCCTCAAACAGTGGTGATCAATGGATACCAAGGACCCACCATGTCAAACACCAATATGTAATGTCATCACAGATGCTTCATCTTACAACTGAGGAAGGGGCTGCTCCTGGGACTGTCACCTCATCTGTCATGTAGCTAGTAAGGGGCAGTGCCAGAATTCGATCCCAAACCTGGGTGCTTCCTGGGCCCTTGGGTACACTGTTTCCCACTTCTCCTTGTTCACCACCCTCAAGGTCCGATGAGGGTAAAGTGCTCTGTGCTCAGTGGCAGGAGGCTCTTGTGGCTTACCAGAGACAGGGTGGACAGGCACCAGGGCTGCTGCTGAGCCTGCTTCCCTCTCTCACCCCCTGCCCACCTTGTCCAGAACCCTCTGTCTACAGACCCTGATCTGGGCCTTGCAGTCCTCCTCACCTTTGCTCAGAGCTGCCTTGTTTTTTGGAGGCACGGGGCCCAGAGTTCCCATCAGCTCAGATGGTTTTACAAGTGCCTCCATGCCTGCCAACATTTCTTCCTTAAGTACTCTCCAATTTCTGAAATTTAAACCACACCATCTGTTAGAGCCAGGGGCTGGGGAAGCCGTCCCTTGAGTCTACTGCTTTCCAACAGTAAATTTTACACTGCCCTCCCGGGGGCAGCTCACTCAGGAGCCTCTACTCTTCTGAGTGTTGTAGGAGCCCCAGGCGCAGGGGAGAGAGGGCTCAGTGAGGAGCTCAGCCAGTGGAACACTGTTTAGACCCAACCCCCACACCCTTTGTTCCAAATCCGTGTCATCCTTGCCTTGGGCCCCTTCAGGATACAGCTCATGCGTCTGCTCCTGGTAGCATTTTCCAGAAGGTAATGCAGGCCACTGAGCTTTGGAAGGTCCTGTGGTCTATGACATACAGAAAGTGCTGCATGCAGAAGCTTCCCTGATCAAGACTCACCCGGCATGTGAACATATTCAAGGAAACAGTGAGGAAACCAACAGAGCTGCTAAGGAAATGCTTTCTAAACTTACTTGATCACAAAACACTTTTTATTCCATTTCACATCCTGCCAAACACCCATTGGGCTGCAGAGCCCATCCAAGGACTGTCATGATCACACTCCCTGCTGCTCCAGCATCCTTTCTCCTGTCGCCTCTCCTGCAGTCCCATGTGGGCTATAGCTATGCCACTTTTCTTGGTAGCCCAATCTTGTCAGTGGCCTTGGTGGTGGTGAACCTTTTAGACCTTTCAGTGATCCTAATAGCCTACCACAGCGCATATGCCATTGGTTCACCACCTCTAGTCTAGGCTGTTCCCTAGAAGATCCTCTACCCAGAAGGCACTGCTGTTTTCCCTGCTGAGCCTTGATGCCTCCAACTATACAGGGCCTCCTCTGTCTCCATTTAGAAGCTATCGCTGTGACCCAGTGGTCTCTGAGCACACAGCTCCATGTTGATCTTCCATGCCCCCTGGGCTGGGGACAGCACGTGCATGAGCCAGTCAAATGCATACAATCAGGAGCAATGCTGGAGCTGTGCACGGGAAGGGAGGGGTCCCGAGGAGCTGCCCCAACACCAGCCTGGGCTCTCAAGGCGGCCGCTGGGCGAGGAAGCTGCCGAGTCCAATCTGAGAGGTAGTGGAGGAAAGGACCTTTCCTTTTCCTTTGTGTAACATCACAGTGATTTTGTGTAAAAGGAACACATTGAAGGATGTACAAAACCCACATCTATTCTCAAGAAGTATTCTATTGATGAATTATTAATTTTAACTTTATGAGCTTTATTATATTAAACAATGAGTACTTAGCAGGGAAAAATATCAAAAAAATTAAGTGTTGAATTTTTAATAATGTTTGTTTATAAAACAGGGTGTGGGAAAGAACAAGGGCTTTGGGAAATGTCAGAAGAGGATGCTGGCAGCAGCACCCTGCAGTGGGGTACAAAAGAGAGAAGACAGGTGCCTCCCTGGCTTTTGTCCCGAGTCTCTGAGTGGGTAGAAGTGCACCCAGGAGAGACTGGCAGGCTAAGACAAGGGTCATTCTGTTGATGCCCTAGGGAAATCACCTCTGCTGTCTACAGAGGTAGGGTGTTAGCTCATTAAGGACAGTGTCTGCTGTCTGTGTCCACTGCCCCAGAACCATGCTGGGCCTTGCACGTATGAATTAGCTTAAGAGCAACGATAAGGGGACCCTTGTGACTCTTCCACTCACAGGCCCCTGTCCTTTCCTGCTGCACATGTCTGGGGAACGTGGCGGGCTCACATGCCATGGCGTCTAACATTGCATATTTGCTGAAAGTCGGGGTGGAAAGCCCCTGCTTTAACTAGACGCTTCTGCCTGGTGCCTCATCCTCCCTCCCCACTCAAGAATTCCCTTTGAAGCCTGGCTCTAGGCTCCCAACCCATGAGGCATTCATTCCCTAGATACTGCCCCAAATCCTGGCACAGCTGCCCACCCACAGCCAGCTTTGCTTTCGGGGCCATGACAGGACACCTGCCAAGGGTGGGCTTTGGGACAGATTGAAAGCTGTTGAAGATTCAAGGAGAGATAGCAGAGTAAGAAGAAAAGTGAACCTCAGGGCAGACATCCTTGAGTTCAAGGCTGGGTGTGAGGCCTCATTTATTGGCGCAGCACTGGAAAAGTTACAGAACCTCTTAGTATCTCAGGTTCCTCATCTGGTAGGTGGATGGGGTTCTGGCAAGGATCACAGACACACCAGTGGCTGTCTCCTGCCTGTCCCCCTCCTTTCTTCTCTGAGCTTTCAACATCAAGCTGTGGAGAAAAGAAATTATTCAGGCATGGAACTCTCAGCCGTGGAGTCATGAGAAGGAGAAAGGGTCTGGAGCTTCGCCAACCCTCGCCCCACAGAAGAGACCTTCTCAGAAAGGCTGGGCTCATTTAAAGGAATGTAGTAGTCAGGATGAGTAATATAAGCTCCCACAACAAACAAACCCCTAAATCTCAGGGGCTTCATACAACAAACATTTCTTTCTTTCTCATGCACAATCCAATTGGGTCATAATCCTCCTGGGTACTTCTCTGTGGGTGCCTTGGTGATCCTGGCCACTCTTGTGGCTCCACCATCTTGAACGTGTTTTCTCAGGGCACCACTAAAGGGAAAGTGAGGGATGAAGGAAGCTTATGACCTGCCTTGACCTGGAAGTAACACATGAGTTTCCCCTAGAGGTCATAGATCAGGAGAGGGCTGGAGAGAGTAGAAAAGCGTCTGGAAGACTGGGTGATCACACCGATAAAGCTTTCTCCCACAGTTCTCACCCCTCAGGTGTTAAACTGAACATGTTGTCTACGCAGCAGGTGTATCGCAGGTGCTGGTTAGACAGCGTGAGCACAGCTCATCGGG